AAGCACATTTATGATGGATCACCTGGCACCCCGACTGGGCACCTCCGCCAATAGACGCTTCCTAGCTGACGCTGAGGACCGTAAACACCGCACCAGACACCACAAGACCCGCAGACTCCACAAACCGCAGTAGCTTAGCTGAGATGTCGCCGTCTTCCTCCCACCCTGGACCAACCTCTGATATCCAGGACCCTGTGGGAAAGACCTTTCCTCCAGGAGAGTATAGAGAGTATAGCTATATAACTCTTCTAAGAGCTAGTTTGTTATATAGCAGTTTCCCTCCAATCACGAGACCATGCTACGTGTTGAGGGTTAAGAAGAACTCACTTTTAATGGTGCCACAGCTGGCACCAATTGTTATAAGCCAATGATAATGCAGTACAGTAGGTGACACTCCCACACATTACACACAATCCCTACCCTCAGCCTGGGAGATAATTGAGTCAAGTATGTAACTCAATTATCTCCAGGCAGAAAAACACACAGGTTTATAAAGTATGAAAAGTACCCCAATATACAACATATATCCAAAAATTACCCAGATCAGAGCAGGGGTTCAGGAAATTCCTGGAAGTATCTTTCTGACCGACCGCATGCATGGTTTCATGCCCAAAACAGTTCCAGAGAATCAGGCTGTGCAGTCGGTTTATTTAAAATAGTCGAAATACCATTCAAATTACCAAACTTAGCCATTCGTGAATGTAGCCAGTATATGTCCCTTGTTCATAGACTTATGCCCACCGAGCGCCGTTCGACTCCCGTTTGAAAAGCTGAAGTTCCATGGAAGGTAACACGTTCGACTAAACAATATGGCCACCACCACCCAGACAGCAATCCATTGAGATGCAAGTTTGAAAATGACTTGCTGTGCTATTGCTTGACTTGCCAAGCTTCACAAGTTTGTTGCACATTTGCTTAAAGTCTGCATTGCAAGTCTTCAGATCAACTTGCTTTGTAAATTTGCTGCAAGTCTGCTACAAGTGGTTAGAATGTTGTGTGCAATGTGTACATCCCACCACAGAGGTCGGTGTGAGGGGCTGAAATTCCATCTCATTGCTGTGTGTAAGCTTTTCCTTCTATGGTGCTGGCAGCCATTTTATAATCACTTTGGAGGTTGTGTGAAGAGAGGTGAGTGGGAACCATGAGTTCTGATATAGAGTTCAGGGAGGATAGAAATAAAGGAGTAACTAAACATAATATTACATTAGTGTAGCACAGTTTGCAATATTTAAGTTTTCCTCATTTATATGCTAAGATTTTGCTTAACATGCAATCTTTCTGTGAAAACTGCCTCATTCAGTAGCTCTATAACTGAATAAGCTGCAAAGCAGTCACCTATACTTCCTAAAATAAATTCATAAATAAAATGTTTGTTTTAAAACTTTCATTCTTTTTAACTTTATGTGTACACCTAACAAACCGTTGGTATCTAAAATTTCCCATTAAATGACATTAATAACTGGAATAGCTCATTAAAACAAATCACGTTTTAACGGCAATATTTACCTTTGAAGCATTAATCCCTTAAGAACTGAGCCAAATGTACATGTTTTAATCAAAATAATATGTAAACAAAACTTGGAATTTGACTATATGTCTGTTCAACCGTACATCACCTCTTTCATGTTAAGTGCAACCACGCTTATTATTTATCATTTTATTCAGGAGAAATAAGGATTTAGCGTTAATATTTTTTTTTTGTGTAATTTGAACACCAATTTTGACCAGTGTTTGTGACTAAGTGGCTACTAAAAAAGACTGAACATACAGGGAGTGCAGAATTATTAGGCAAATGAGTATTTTGACCACATCATCCTCTTTATGCATGTTGTCTTACTCCAAGCTGTATAGGCTCGAAAGCCTACTACCAATTAAGCATATTAGGTGATGTGCATCTCTGTAATGAGAAGGGGTGTGGTCTAATGACATCAACACCCTATATCAGGTGTGCATAATTATTAGGCAACTTCCTTTCCTTTGGCAAAATGGGTCAAAAGAAGGACTTGACAGGCTCAGAAAAGTCAAAAATAGTGACATATCTTGCAGAGGGATGCAGCACTCTTAAAATTGCAAAGCTTCTGAAGCGTGATCATCGAACAATCAAGCGTTTCATTCAAAATAGTTAACAGGGTCGCAAGAAGCGTGTGGAAAAACCAAGGCGCAAAATAACTGCCCATGAACTGAGAAAAGTCAAGCGTGCAGCTGCCACGATGCCACTTGCCACCAGTTTGGCCATATTTCAGAGCTGCAACATCACTGGAGTGCCCAAAAGCACAAGGTGTGCAATACTCAGAGACATGGCCAAGGTAAGAAAGGCTGAAAGACGACCACCACTGAACAAGACACACAAGCTGAAACGTCAAGACTGGGCCAAGAAATATCTCAAGACTGATTTTTCTAAGGTTTTATGGACTGATGAAATGAGAGTGAGTCTTGATGGGCCAGATGGATGGGCCCGTGGCTGGATTGGTAAAGGGCAGAGAGCTCCAGTCCGACTCAGACGCCAGCAAGGTGGAGGTGGAGTACTGGTTTGGGCTGGTATCATCAAAGATGAGCTTGTGGGGCCTTTTCGGGTTGAGGATGGAGTCAAGCTCAACTCCCAGTCCTACTGCCAGTTCCTGGAAGACACCTTCTTCAAGCAGTGGTACAGGAAGAAGTCTGCATCCTTCAAGAAAAACATGATTTTCATGTAGGACAATGCTCCATCACACGCGTCCAAGTACTCCACAGCGTGGCTGGCAAGAAAGGGTATAAAAGAAGGAAATCTAATGACATGGCCTCCTTGTTCACCTGATCTGAACCCCATTGAGAACCTGTGGTCCATCATCAAATGTGAGATTTACAAGGAGGGAAAACAGTACACCTCTCTGAACAGTGTCTGGGAGGCTGTGGTTGCTGCTGCAAGCAATGTTGATGGTGAACAGATCAAAACACTGACAGAATCCATGGATGGCAGGCTTTTGAGTGTCCTTGCAAAGAAAGGTGGCTATATTGGTCACTGATTTGTTTTTGTTTTGTTTTGAATGTCAGAAATGTATATTTGTGAATGTTGAGATGTTATATTGGTTTCACTGGTAATAATAAATAATTGAAATGGGTATATATTTGTTTTTTGTTAAGTTGCCTAATAATTATGCACAGTAATAGTCACCTGCACACACAGATATCCCCCTAACATAGCTATAACTAAAAACAAACTAAAAACTACTTCCAAAAATATTCAGCTTTGATATTAATGAGTTTTTTGGGCTCATTGAGAACATGGTTGTTGTTCAATAATAAAATTAATCCTCAAAAATACAACTTGCCTAATAATTCTGCACTCCCTGTACCCCATTTGCAATACCTTGGGTTGTCTACTTTTGCAAATGGTATGCCATCATGGGCTTTGAGGCCACTTACACTTCACTGCATACATCGGGTCCAGTATTGAATTGTTTAGATACAGGTGAACAATACAGATGTTTAAAAGTGACCGGTATGAAAATGACAACCTCACAACCTAACCATTGCTGCAGAATAACTGTTGGATCAATTGTTATTATAGAAAATATTATCCATTTATTTTCTCATGGAATGTGCATAATTGGACACAAATTCAAATAAGTAGAACATTTCTATGAAGAGGGTTTTTTGCAAAAGCATTTACTTAGGAATCTGTCAAGTTAGTGAGTTATATAGTAGACTTATTTCAAGTAAAGTTGCAGATGTAACTGAAAAGTTGATGCTACTATATCTTGACAGTGTCTCTGTTGTCTATCCTCTCTTACATTTAGAGTAGGCCCCTCTACCTTGTGGGTGTAAGGTCTTTTGAGACATTGCACTATGCATACTTTCTGTTAATCTTTGTATTTGTTTTCTGTTTTGTGCCACATTTAAGCATTATTTAGCTATTTATTAACAGTTAAATATATTTACAGGGTAATTCACTAAGGACCGAAGGTAGCTGTACTGGCAGCCAAATGGCAGGCGAAAAGGATCTTAAACCGTATCAGAGGTGAGGTTGACTAAGGCTCAGTACTGCTATTTAAGCAGTATTTCGCCAGCCTTTGGCCGCAATAAGGCTGCACTGTATGGTCTCCAGCCGTCCGGCTGAGGTGAAGGGATAGAGATCCTTCGCCTCATTAAGAATCAACACGGATGGTGGGGAGGGGCCTGACTGGAAACATGGGAGGACGCATTTCAATCAAGGGGTTGTCCTGTGTTTACAATACATGCCTGACACTCTGGGGGCATTAACCCCTTCCATTACATGGCATGGAAGTGGCTAATCTGCAAGTTTTATTAATCTATCCAGTTTATGTAATTTCATTCATTTCTTAACTGCATTTTTAATGAAGGCAAGGGTACATGATATATAATATTACTTTCATCATTTATTTTGTGTATACTTTATCTTATTTTTTTTCATAAGAGTGAGTTATAATCTTTTCTGTGAAAGTTGTATATGGCAGAAGCAAATACATTTGCAATCGTCAAATTTATAGATGAAGATGATGCTCTGATTACTCTACATGTTACAATCCAGAGTCTAAAACTGACCAAATGAGAGAACGCCTCATTAAGGATGACGTGAGTCCACAGAACAAAGTATACAAGTGGGCAATCTGCAAAGTGCATTTTATTGTGAGTATCTACTATTTTGTATAGTAATACAATAAACCTGCTAGTCATTTTCTTCTAGTTTATTTGTCCTACAGTATACTTATTGTGTGTGTGTGTGTGTGTGTGTGTGTATATATATATTTAATATGTATTTTCTTTGTCTTTGTGTATTTCCAGCTACATTTGCTTTGGCCAGAAGTAATCTTAAAAAAGCAGAGGAAACCTCAGGCTTGGACCCTGAATCTGACCTCAGTGAGGAAAGACCTAGAAGGAAAATCAAGAAAGCAACTGTATTGCTTCCTGGAGAAGAGGCTGGCGATGAAGGATCTGACATATAAGAAACAGAAATACAAAACCGTGTAACAAGGTGTCCATCCGTACAACAACAATCATCTGTGACACCTTTCCCTCAGCCTGAGTCCTTTCATGTACCAGTTGCTGCATCTTCTCCTTTATTCTCACATTTACCTTTTCCTTCCTCAGCTATTTTTTTTCTAATGTTCCATATGTTTCTTCACCAACTAACTTCCCCCAATCAGCCCAGCTTGGTTCAACTATACATTGTCCCTCTAATAATGCACCTCTTACACACACTTTAACAGATATTTCTAAATCCTGCTTTACACCTTTCCAACATGAGTCGTCCGTTACAAAATCTCTGCATTCTTCAAAAACCTCTTACACTCAAAGTCCTCCAACTATAATTCCTTTCGATTTTGCTGCATCTAGTAGAGCTACACACCATTCTTCCGTTCAAGAAGACTTGCAGCACATTTCCCATTATTCAGGTTTGTATAACAGATATTTTTTTTCGATTTTTGTTTGCAATGTATATATTTTTTTTTTTACTGTGTCCATGTTTTATTAAGTATTTTACATAAATTATATTGTCTGCTTCATTTCCACACTGCTTGCAAAAGATCATGTACTCTTCATTTGGTTCCAATATGCTTGCTGTACATTGTTTTACCTTGATCTAAGGCTAAACCTAAAAAAAAAAGTTCTTAGATGAATCTTAAGCCTTTACCAACAATTTTGTGTTGAAGAAGTAGAAATTTGAGGTAGTTTGCATAAGTTGTATGCTGAATAAATTGAGAAAAATATAGTTTAGTTGTCACTTTCTGACATGGTCAAATGGAGAGTGCTCAATAATTACAACAGGGCATTTAAAGTTGCTCTCTATATGTCTGAATCTTACTTATTCCTTTCTTTTTTATTTCTAGCTCCAGCAAGAGAGAATAGAAAATGGACAGCTGTTCTGCAGTGGATGGCAGACATAACTGGAAGACTTGAAAAAATAGAGGAAAGATTGGAAGCCATAGCACAAATACATGTACCTATAGCAGAAGAAGATGACACATCAATGTTTAGTCTTCTGGCCCTGAAGTCTTTGGACTACTTTCAAAAATTGGTAGATGCTTTGAAAACAAGCAAATCTCTGAAAAACAAACTGGTAAGCTCTTGAGTTGAGGTGTATCCCTTTACAGTTGGACTCAATGTGCCTCTTTAACACAGTTGTATATTTAAAACCTTATGAGTTGTAGGATTTATTGGAATACGTCAATGATGTGTACATTAATTTAACTGAGCAGTTATTTTAGTGCAACATTAAGCTGAAATGTTTTCAGATTCTTTATTAGTTGATGTATTTTTTTAGTATTAAAGATAGAGAATTTTCAGAATGCAAAAGACCTATGGAATACGGTTCTTATTTGTTGACATTTGGAATATTGGTATTTAATCCTCGATTGAATATATTTCTGAAGTGAGAGGTTATCTCTAAAGGCACGTTATTTCATTACATATGGATATATGTCTGTTTATCATATAGTTAGTACTGTTTATCTCTAGAAATTATATTTCTTATGCTTACTAATAATTGTTGTTGTTTTTATTTTCACAGGTCAGCTCCAGATCCAAGCCCAAAGAACAGATGCCGATTATATATTTTGTTTGTCTTGAAAAATGTAATTATTCTTTGACTGTTATTGTTGTAGTTATATGTTTAGTAATGTTTTGGTAAATGTTCTTTTACATGTTTGGCAAACGTTCAACCTAATAAAAATGTAACTGTTTGTAAGATGTAATGCTTTGTTATGTATTGATTTTATTAAAATATTTTAATTAATATTTTTATGTTGATCACTTTTTTCTTAATGCAGTATTGAGGTTTGCAGTTTTTTCCACATTTAACAAAAGTAAGATTAATTTATCCATGTCAATAATGGCATAAAATTTGCATTTGATTTTCAAATTTACATACAACGTGCACAATTGTATAAAATATATTTTATTCTTATGCTGTAACTAATAAATAGATGGATAATTGTTAAATTAATGCTGTTAAAGATATAAAATAGTCAGTTTTTGCTAAAAACATAATATATTTTAAATGTTAATCATATTTTTTATTTGCAAATAAATATATTACCAAAGATAATACATACGTATTTAACAATACCTAAGGTAAATAACTGTACTATTATACCTGGGATATTAAGGTAATAAACTTAAATAATAGTCAAGTAATAATCAGGTAATGCATGAAATTAAAACTTTTAAAAATATGACATTTACAAAATTAAATTTACCGGCTTAAAGTAAATTTGTAAATACAATTTACATAAGGTTGGTATTCACTAAAAAGGGAAGTGAGGTGAATTGGAATAATCTAGGCCGAAATAACTGAACTAGAAATATTTGAATGTGAATGGTTTTGAAGTTTAGCCATATATTTGGTCAGATTTTGCAATTCTCCTTGCCTATTCACTTTTTAGTGAATAGACCCTATAAAAACTTACAGGGCTCTTGCTGTAAACCTGCCACTGCAACTGTGCTCTTGCTGTAGACTTGCCACAGCAACTTTGCTCTTGCTGTAGACTTGCAGGGCACTTGCTGTAGACTCCCAAGGCTCTTGCTGTAGACTTGCCACAGCGACTTTGCTGTTGCTGTAGACTCGCAGGGCTCTTGCTGTAGACTTGTCACAGCAATTTTGCTCTTACTAGAGACTTGCAGGGCACTTGCTGTAGACTCGCAAGGCTTTTGCTGTAGACTTGCAGGGCTCTTGCTGTAGACTTGCCACAGCAACTTTGCTCTTGCTGTAGACTCGCAGGGCTCTTGCTGTAGACTTGTCACTGCAATTTTGCTCTTGCTCGTGACTTGCCAAGCAAATGTGCTACAAATTTAAAAAGTGTCAACTAGAACTTGAGCTGCAAGAGCTCTGCTAGTGAATTACTTGCCAGTGAAAATGTGCAGCAAGTTAAACAGACTTACAGTTTAAGTCTTCCACACATTTGTGGCAAGTTATCCTTGCTATCTGGGCACGTGTTCAACTATTACGAATGGTGACCACCCAGTTGTTCGTCAATTTGGCTGCAGTTAACTACCAGCATGGGAGGTAAATAGGCTGCACACTCCACTTGTGTGTGGTCCGGCTGTTCGGTTGTTCGAAGTGGCACAATTTCGAAGAAATATTGTCCAAAGTCATAATAAGTACAAATAGGGTTTTTAACCATGATAAATTAAAGGGGCCATAGTCACAGGGTAAAAGTCTGGCAGGTAGTCCCCTCCAAACAACAGAGGCAAAGTGGCTTTCATCACAACGTTTCTAAGATTTATCATGGTTCATCTAATTCTATCTTGTATTTGGGCATTAAGATAGTATATAAAATGATAAGTGCTCTCCTGAGTGCACCAATTTTAAAAAATGATTTGAAGTCTGCATGACCAGACTGCATAATAGAAAATTAACCTTACACCTAGATTACTTCATGTCTTTAAGGCACGTAGCTCCAAGATAACTTGAGCATCAGTACTGCACAAATTTAATTACCATATGGAACACTATCAACGGTAAATTCACCCGCTCCTCTCAGGTATTTTTTCTCTGTTATGACCCCCTCTGGCTTTGCTTGTTTGGAGGATGTTGTTTTTTTTAGACATTTTTAAGGGAAAGTTCCTTTATCTCCTTTGACTCAATAAATCATTGGGCCTCCCTTAGTCCTTCTAACTTCCTTTGGTATGCTAAAGAAGGCCCAACAGTTTCTACAGTGGCTTGCAACCTTACATTACGTCCTCTGAACCCCCAAATTAATGAGTCATCATTTATGGATTTGATCTCAACCCTAACTTCTTCCTTTAACTGGAATAATTTTCCATATATGGAAAAGTGGGAATCTGAGCTGGAGGGAGCTATCTCAAATGATGATTGGTTAGAGATGTGGGGACATACTGTAAAATCCTCAGTGTATATTACCATTCAAGAACATGAGATTGAAACTATGTGGTATGTCACTGCTGTATCTCTCCATCTATCCCTGTCACACCTCATTTTGACCTACAGTTCATAATTTGTGTTAGATAGTTCTCTCCCAGCTCTCCCTGCTAGATTTGCCTGCTCACCAGGTCCATTGATTTACTAAAATCTTACAAGAACAAAATATTAGTTAAAATCATTATTGCCCTTGTGGAGTGTTGGCTACCCATAACAGCCTCTAGCCTATAGGTAACAGCCCCTAGCTACAAGAGCCTTTGTGGAGTGTCGGCTGCAGGTCACAGTCCCTAGATTAACTAATTAAGTTATTTTGAGAAATGATAATATGGCCATGGTTAAACTCACAGATATACTAAACCACACTTCCCCTTACATTTGTAAGGAGTGGACCCAATATGAAGCTTAATATGATATTTATTTATAAAGTGCCTCCAGGCTGCCCCTCCCCTCCTTCTCTCTTACTTTTCTATTTCTTTCATAAATCTTGTCTATGCTTTCCTATCTTCTTTCTCTTAGGGGTTCTTTTCTTCTTTCTTTTACTCTAATTGTTTTACTATTACTTATGCATTATTACCTTTGCATTATGCGACTGCTGATAGTTGCTTAGATGCTAATGTCTATTATGTTAATCATGCTTTATTCCTAACACCTTTTACTACAATTAAATCAGGAATTGGAGGCTGCCATGTTGTGCTGTATCAAACTCATTACTGTTTGCTTTCTATGCTGTCTTATGTTCATTTCCATTTTTCTGAAAATAAATAAATCACTACATTATTAGATAAATGTGTTTTAATATCCATAAAAGTTAAATAAGATAACTTTTTTTAAACCTTTGCTTTGCAACTTTGCTCAACAGCATTTCATAAATATCAGCATTTATTTATATGCCTGTTAACTTTTTATTAGAAACAAAATTCTGAAGTTATTGTGGGGTTGTTTTATAATCTCAGTAATAATAATAATAAAATGTAATTTTTACTCACATATGAATTTATATGTTCTAATTATATCATGTCATTATTATAAAATAGATATGTTTCAATTGTGCGGATATTAAATATATGCTACAAAAATTAAATCAGACAAAACATATTAAATTAAAAGCAAGTGCATATAACAATTAGAGACTATAAATGCCAATGATCTGACTTGTATTTGTGTAATGAAAATAGTTTTTTTTTTCAAATCAGAATGCATCTGAAATGACTGAAAGTTATTTTTTTTAACTACTTTAGAGATGCCCATCTATATATATTGTACTAATAGCATAGTTTCATTTATTTTTCTGGAGATTTTGTTCCAAACTGCAATTTGTCTGTATTTGGGGCCAACTGGCCAAAATTCTTATTTCTGACCTGCTGCAT